CCCCCCCCAAGGTACGTAATTGCCCTTAACTTTTTTGCTTGGTTTTATATGGGTTTGCGGAATATAGAATCTAGACCATTTCGGACCATAACGTCTATCCTTTTCTTGTCTATTTTTTTCTCAGCTTCAATCAAGAGAGTGTGAGGAAGACGGCTTAGTACGATCATAATGTGATGGAAAAGGCAATCGACATTGTCTGACTAAAACTATTGTCTATCTCCCCATGTTCAACATAAAAGACAGTGAAGTACTTTCTCATGGTCAAAGCTACGTCAGTGATTATTAATGCGACAGACAGATAAGTCCACAGTAAATAGACAATAAAACTCTTTTGCGTTTGAGATTGCAAATATTACTCAGATATGTTTTTGGATCGTCCATAGTGTCCCATAACAGGAGACAAAATTCGCTTTTATGTGTTTCTTTTCCACGTTATAATTTCTTTCCTAAATTTTGCTGTAAAAACTTCTTTTAATCTTTAGGATCATCGTAAGTTTTGAAACACTTTGCACTTTTGTTATCTTTTCATCTCAACATACTACTCTGGGTCAAAACATTCGTGCTGGCAGTGCTGGGACTCGTTCTTTCTGATCGCCATGCTTTCAGCCACTCTAAATAAATACTGTTGTCCTCAAAACCCTTACAGATTCTGTCACATTCGTCTTAGTGGATCGTCATCCCTCGCTCGTTCTAAGACAGAATTCCTCCGATTTCAAAGCTTACATCAATGTGAAACATTTTGATGAAATCGGGCACTCGTCAAAATAATGAAATCGAAGAAACCAGCAATTTCCCGCCTGTATGTCAATTTTAATCGATTTTTTATTTTATTTACTTTTTATTTTTAAATTTTAAATTTTTTTATTTTTTAGTCTTATTTTTATTTTTTATTCTTATTTATATTTTTTTTTCTTATTATTTATTTTTTGGGTGGGGGGTAAGCTCCTTTTATGCCCAATAAGGCGTATTAATACATTTCTTAGAGAAAGGAATTGAAAACCGTTGATCAAAGGCACTACAATTGTACATTTGCAGTTTCGAAGGACACTCAAGTTTTGGAAGTCACCAAACTTTTCTGGCCATTTTCTCGCTGATTTTACTTCTGACATCAAGCGACCCCCTCCTCCTTCAATGGCAGATATCTCTACTTCTATTTTTTCATCATAAGCAAGGCAAATGAACAAGTTTTAAGATGGTTCCAATAACTTCACATGCCTAAAAATTAACGAGTGCCTGATTGAGTGATTTCACAGCGTCGTGACACAAATACAGTTTTCTGGCTCTCAACCCCTTTTACACTCTTAACTGACTACTGAATCATACACTTTTCGTCTTGCCTGTATAATCGGACCTATAAAAGGGTAAAGAAACAACAAGAAAGAGATGGCCAGACTCACATGCAGTTGCATTACTCTAATGAGTCTCAATAGGAAGAAAGGTATCTAAAAAGGACCAGCAACAAAGTTACTCTACGATAATCATGTGAATTCTCAATTTCCATCGGATCAACATCTACCATTCACTAAAGTCATAAGTATCCAATAATAGATTCACTAGAGATCGTCCAAACTTGTTAACAGAAAGGCCCTAATGGCATCCGGACAAGTCCAAGAGAGAGAGAGAGAGAGAGAGAGAGAGAGAGAGAGC